ACTCCATCTATAATGTTCAAAATGTGAATGAAAATAACGAGAAAAATTAAGTGATTGTATTTTAAAATTAATTCTTTTCTTTAAAATATCCTTAGTAATAAAATTATCAAATTCTCTGAGCCTTCAAGGTATTTTAAGGAAAATAAAATGTCCTGAGGATTCCCGGTTTTCCAGATTTTTGCAGTTATTAGACTAATAATATCGTGGGTTTAATCATACAATTTCTATTGAATCTTTCGCTTTAAAGGATCATATCGTACATAAGTGTTTAGGAGATACTAATTGAATAAGTCTAAACCATCAAACATTTATTTGGTGTGCCATCAACTACTTTTCTTCTCGTAGGTCATTTTTAAGTCACTATTGTTATAACTCAGGAAAGCTTGAAAATTTTTCATAATCACGATCATTATTCGAAAAATTGGAGTACGTCTCTTGAAAAAATGTTGCAAAAAGATTGCATATATCTTCTGAATTATTTCTTACTTTTTCGTCTAAAGTTATTTTTGATGGAAAGTTGCACGAATTAATTTTAGTTTTAACGTAACTGAAGAAGTTTCTTGAACATGATTTAATTTCATTTACAGTTGTTTTGCAAAATTAAGCTGGTCACAAATATTCAAATACTTTTCCAAATTCCCTGATTATTCTGTTTTCTATATATTTTGTGAGTCTTTTGTTTCAGATTCTTCAAATTAATGATTTTAAGAACCAATCCAGATTTTTTGAGCGATAACTACGTCGTCTTTTTCTAAAAGGAATTTCCTCTTGTTTAATTTCCAATAAAATTTCATAATTTCTACTGCACAATCGACATTCTCTTGATTTATCAAAACTGATCGCCAAATAATTCTACTCGATTTATACTTAATATTGTCATAATTACCATTGTTGTATTCAAAGACATCTTCGTAGTCACAGTCGGTGGGATGGTTTTCATGCACAACTGTGAGCAGAATACTCTCATTTTCTGAATCAGGAATGAAATCAGCATTCCGTTGATTGAAATCGCCATAGATATGAGTTTTAAATTCAAGAGAAAATTGAGATACTATTTCTTCGGTTATTTGGAAGAATATTTCATAAGAAGCATAATCTGGTGGAAAGTACACTGTGGCACACATGTTCAAATTCTTTAGATTTCGATGACTTCCGAATTACGAACTCCACCACCTGACATTCTTTGAGTTAAAACTAAATCGCGGTCATCTCTGAAAACATTAAAATCACTGCCAAAAATTTCCTCACTTTTAATGGAATCATCAACTCGTTTTTGATGCGCTCTTCATGTGATTGAAATTCTGACAATAAACCAGAATTTCAGTAGAATGTGTTCCAGAGGAAATTTTTTGAAAATCATCAGATTCGACAATATTATTTAAACTATGAACAATTTCTTGGGTACAACATGGACTAGGAACTGCTTGGAAAGCAGTTCCAGATAATTTTAAGGAGAACTCCATGTGAATTTTCAGTAGAACTTAGAGGAGAACTCCAAGACAATTCAGATTAAAATTTAATAAAAACTCAGAGGTGAACAGTATGGGAATTGTTTGTTTATATCTTTATTAAGGAGACTTTCAGCCCTGGCCTGGTTCGTCTTCTTGTATGGGAATTTCTTAGGAGGTGAATTATTTAAAAAAGTTTATAATTCAAAGTGAATCTAAGGACGAATTTGATGATTGTTTTAGTGTTCTGCAGAGAATTTGTTGCACTGTTATAAAGAAAATTCAAGGCACTTCCAGGGACAAACTCGAATTTATTTCAGATGAACTCTATAAAAATAAATTCCTTTGTAAAGAAATACTTCAACTTAAATATAATCATGTTAAGCTCTGGAACTTTAAATACGGCAAGTTGGAATTTAAATTGTTACCCATAACTGAACACGTTATCAATTAGTAGCTTTTGGCTTTATATATAATTAATCTACTGATTGGTTTAAGTTAAATTTGAATCCACACCTCTAAAATTTCACCAAGATCATGTACCTGATGAGTTTAAATTGTTATTCCTGTCAATGTCCATAAACTAACCCTTGGATCATTTTCAATGTCCTAGAACTCTAGTTTTGTAGGTAATTCTGAGTAGAATTCCAAGGCATCCTTGAGTAGGATTCAATACAAATTTTAATGAAAATTCATAACAGCTTTTGACTCTAATTCTTAAGGAGCTATGAGAAAATTTGGACGAGAAGGAGGAGTACAGCATGGTCATTCTGAGGAGAACACAAAAGAGGAAATACAAAAGAAATACAAAAGAGGACATTCTGAGGATAATTTAAAGAAGATTCTGGGGCAAAAACAATCCGAAGCATATTTTCATGTGAGTTTTCGGAGAAATCATAGGATTACAATTGAATATGAGTATGATTTCTATCGAACCTAAAATAAATTCGGTCAAAAATTTCAAGACCAATTTCTGACCAATTTTGTGGAGAAATCTAAGCAAAACTGCAAGTAATTTTTCAGGTGAGAATTTCATAGTTGTGAGTTGAATACCAAGGAAAGGAGCAAAATTCAACGGTAATTCCAACATATTATTCAATTATAATTTTATGAATACCTCCAACGGATTTCTTAGGAATATCCTTCGACAATTCTGAGCTAAATTTCAAGCGTATTTCGAGGAGTATTCTAAGGTTTTCCGGTGTTTTTTTTTTCAGATAATTCAAAGGAGAATCCCAGCAGCATTTAGAAGAATTTATGGGATTTCCTAGCAGAACTAAAAAAATATTCCTAAGATAATTCCATGGGAATTTCAGGATAATATTAAGTAAATTCTGAGGTGAACTCCAAGTGAATTTTCAGAAGAATTCTACAGGCAATTCCTAGCAAGAATTATAAATAATGTAATGAGCATTTGCAGGGTGAATTAAAATAGTTTTCTTAAGATGTTGTCATATTTTTTAAAATCATATTTTTCCTTTACACTAGTCAATAATACCTTCCAGCAATAATACCTTCTAGCTCAATTTAAAATGTTTCCATTATACATTTGGATTGTATTTTTGAAAGATGCGTGAAATTAGGATCATAGGTTAATGAAACTATGGTGCTTTATGGTAGAAACATTCGGAAAAACCTGCCCCAAGACGACCTTATGACTCATTCGGCCTTGTTCGGGTCAGTAGTATGAATAGCAACTCCTGTTGTAGAAGAATTCTGATTTTTTCAGTAATTCAAAAATTAGATCTGGGTATCTATCTATTCTCTAACACGTCACGCTTTTGACGTAGGACTACGTCTTTGATTTCTATATGGGGGTACACTTTCTGAAAACCGAAAATGGAACATGTAACAAATTTAGAAAGATTTTGAACGTTAATAACTCAGCTGCCCCTGGTCCAATTTCAATAATTTTATCACCTTTCGATCAGAAATATGGCTACGCATCGATAAAAATGCTTTCGAATGTTGATGTTCAGCAAGAAACTATTGAAAAACTGGTAAAATGTCCAGCATTGTCCAAAAGCGTCGAATTAACTAACAAATCCACCAATTACCTACATGCATAAGCTGCTTCCCCAGCACAGTCGTCAGAGAGTAGTAAGTAGACGAAACAAGTCGAAGTGGCATTCGCCTCCGAACGTCGGGCGCGTGCGGATAGGGAGGATGGAATTGCGTAATATTTTGCACACTTATCTCCATACTCAGAACCACACGCTCCCAATGACCACACATAATGCTCTCCAGAGTGTTATCTTGTACCACACTTGGAAACAGGGGATACACTCAAAAAATATATCACAAATGTAATGCATGAAATCCATGTGAATTTCACTAAGCTCTCAAAAAAAAAAAGTTGACGACAACCTAAAGAAATCGCTAATGGACTTTGTCGTTCAGTTTTTTCCTGAAAAGTTTTGTAAATAAGCTAGAATGAAATAAAAAAGTTTTTTTTTTCCCATACCGTTTTAATCGCTTTACTACCAATCCCCAGAGAGCCAGCCAAAACATTAAAATTTGAAAGAGAAAATTCACTCTCAATATCTCAACATTCCATGTACTTTGATGACACTCTGTAACATTTGGTGGGGGAGGAAGGACTAACATTTGAAGTCCCTCTTATTTAGCATATTCTGCATAAATAATACATAAAAATTCAGCCTGTAAGAAAATACTATTTATCAAAAATTTCTAGGAAAAAAAACTAAACGTTAATGAATGATTTTTGACTTATTTTCACCATAATATGCATCCAAAGCGTTCCATCCACTTTTCCAAATTTCTAACTTACTATCAATTGAACAGCGCCATCAATGATAAAAAATAGCCATGACTTGGTGAAAACTATTTTTGTTGTTCTTTAAGAAATCTATTCCAACTCTTTTTTACATGAACTTAGTGGCCCTGAAAAGGGCCGGTTTGGTAAGATTTTCGACGGGGAAATTAAGCGCGTTCACCACGGATACGACGAGCCAGCTGGATGTCCTTTGGCATGATTGTGACACGCTTGGCGTGGATGGCACACAGGTTGGTATCTTCGAACAGACCGACCAGATAAGCCTCGCTAGCTTCCTGTAGAGCCATAACAGCTGAGCTCTGGAAGCGCAGATCGGTCTTGAAGTCCTGGGCAATTTCACGGACCAGACGCTGGAAAGGCAACTTGCGGATCAGCAGTTCGGTCGATTTCTGATAACGACGGATCTCACGCAGGGCGACGGTACCTGGCCGGAAGCGATGAGGCTTCTTTACTCCTCCGGTGGCTGGAGCGCTTTTGCGAGCGGCCTTCGTTGCCAACTGCTTGCGAGGAGCCTTTCCTCCAGTGGACTTGCGAGCGGTCTGCTTGGTGCGAGCCATTTTCCTTTAAACGATGTGTTCACGTTGAAAGCTAACTGTGGAATAAAAAATACAAACGACTTCCATTCTGTTTTATAACATGCGTTCGCTGTGATCAACCAATCAGAAACGATGAAAGAACAAGAATACAACAACTAACAAGAAGAATTTAACCCTCGAGTAGGTATAAAAAAGCCGAAATTTGGAATTCTTGTTCACTTTCGTCTCAACCTTCATCAACGATAAACAAACCATCTCCAACAATGACTGGACGCGGCAAGGGAGGAAAAGGACTCGGCAAAGGAGGAGCAAAGCGTCATCGAAAAGTGCTGCGTGACAACATTCAGGGTATTACTAAACCTGCTATCCGTCGTCTGGCTCGTCGTGGTGGAGTCAAGCGAATTTCTGGGCTTATTTACGAGGAAACTAGAGGTGTGTTGAAGGTATTTTTGGAGAACGTTATTCGTGATGCTGTTACTTACACCGAACACGCTAAGAGGAAGACGGTCACCGCGATGGATGTCGTTTACGCTCTGAAGCGACAGGGACGCACTCTGTACGGTTTCGGAGGATAAATTAGCATCATCGACTCAGACTAAAAAACCGGCCCTTTTCAGGGCCATCAAATAAATTAAAAAGGTGATTTTGATTAACTTCCTTGTCGGGATTTAAAAGGTGGTAGGGATGTGATCGAATGATGATTTTTTTCAGTTGAAGATTATTAGATTTAACCTAAGTTGGTTGTTACTGGTATGAGATCTACCACTGCTAATCCAGTACCGACAATCATTTGCATTCATTTGTTGTGTTGGGGTAAGTAGTGCGTTTCCAGTGTTCCAGTCGAAATACAAAAGAATCAATAAAAACCGCCTCGGTTGTACGCGCCTTGGTTAATCTGAGGGCAATCATAGAGAATAAACAGAGAACCCAGCTAAAATTTCTATTCCTACACAAAACACAAACGCCTGCTGCAGTTAACAAAAATATTTATTATATCATACCCTGGGGGGGGACGTGCTGTCAAATCAGCCTACTGATCATCTTGTATGAAACTGGTTCCAAACGTAAACAAACGCTGTAGGTTTCTTATGGCTTGTTTACGTTTGGAACCAGTTATGCGAGGTAGGCGAAGATTGTTCGTATTTGACAGCCACCTCCCCCCCTTGATCATACCACGTTGTCCTACGTCATCATTGCGTACAACCCCATTGGGTTGTCCCTTGTAGTTTTTAGATATGAACTATGATAATCTTTATGTGATCTGCGAACTTGCATCACGAAGGTGCTCCGCGTTTGCTTAGTTACCTAATATGAAGACATTGCCTAACTATTGGAACTATTTCCAAAATGAGGAATGAAACGTCGAGATAGCGTTTTAAAATATTAAATGACATAGGGCAAAAGTTGGCTTCGGCAATACCTTAACCTATTATCGTCAGGGGGTAACCAAAGTCCACCCTTGGGGTTGAATGCCCACTTGTAGAAAAACAACGATAACTTTTCCTCAGATGCTTATTCCGGGTAGCGGATTGTGCTTTTTTTCATCCTAATTCCTGATCATGAAATCGTATAGTGACATACTGATATTTTGGGCAAAACATGACATAGTTGTTCAATCATCGACTGCAAATTAAGCTTATATCGTAACATAAAACATAATGGAACGAATTAACTTTTCGTATAATTTTCTTAAGAATTGAAGAGTTTACAGTTTTCGATATTTTTTTTTTCTAATATGTTTAGAGAAATCAAAATGTATTACTTTGTTTTAAGGGTGGTAAGCTTCCCGTTAAACGTGAACTCGAAACATGAATAAAGCAAATGAAAGTAGCTGTGAAACGGTGCAACATCATCCATAAAATTACTTCACTAATTTGAAAAATTAAACAAAAAATGACGACGCACTCAAGCAATGCATAACCCCTTACAAATAATCCTCAAATCATCAATCCGTCAAATTCCCTCGCAATGCCCTACCTAGCTAAACAATTTTGAACCGTTTAGCGAAAGTAAGTGTGCACCGTTGCTATCAAGTTGTACAAAACGAGTGTTTCTACACAGTTGTCTTCATGCACCACATATCTATGCAACTCACCCAGTAACAACAATGCAACAGGAAGCCATATTGTAATGTCAACCCATAAAATCGGGCGAGACAGGCGTGATAAAAAACCACTCCCCCTCCCTCTGACAAAGTTATCCCGCACAACAGAAATGCATGTCGTTCGCTGCTTGTTGGTCGGCTGCGGCGTAACACCGAAATAACTCGGTGGCCGCAGTCAACAGTTTCAAATTATACCTACTATTTATTTTTTCTTAGAGGAGCATAAATAAAATGTGGCGACGAACCAGCATAAAACTAAGCGCCTGGGCTTTGGATTGACGACATAACAGAGCGCGCGCGCGCGGTAACCAACGACCACGAGGTTCGATTATGAAATCACTACGAATGCCGTCGTCGTCGTCGTCGTCGCCGGTCGTTGTAAGATCCTTTCTTTCTTTCCGTTGTTGGCCCGCCAAGGCAGCACCGAAGTAGCTGCGAAGGTTTCTCATTTTGCCGCGCGGGCAAAAATCGAAATGGAAAATTGAGTCAGATTTGCAAAGTAATCCGTTGCAAGGGGCCATGGAATCAATCTTTTTCAAACGTCCAAAAACAGGTATACCATCAATGACAACCACCACAACACAAGTCAAATGGGTTGAAACGTAAACAAAAACAAACACTCAACTTGCAGTAATTTCACGTTCGTGAGAAAAAAGACATATCAATCAAATGAATATGAGAAGTTGCCCGACTGGCACCGAATGCCATCGTGTGCACGTTCAAGCTTTTAAACGATCATTTGTTTTTCAAGCTCATTGGTTGCACTGCTTGTTTCAATGTTCGACTCTAAACGCACTGAAAAAGTGAAGAGCTTTAATGATGTAGCTAATTTGGGTGGAAAACCGAACCGAAAAAAAAGTGAACGGTACTAGCTCGGGTGAGAAGTTATGTATACATGGGGGTGATTATTTTTATGATTCAATATTTTTTAGCAGCAACCAGTATAAGAAGGAAGACTATTCGGAGGAGCATCAGAAGAAGTGAAAGCTTTCAGCTTTGAAAACATGATCCGTTAGTGATTTAACGGTTGCGTTTTTTGTGTGTTTGTTGTTAGGGTAACCTTTATCAAAAACACATACGTAATACACTCATCCAGGTGATGGTGGTCAATCAAATCGATCTTTTTCTTTAATAACGTTTAGGTAATCCTCGACCAAGGTGTTGCTCGCTTAGTTTGTTTTTATCAAACGAACGAAAAGATCAATCCATCAAAAAAATTTAACCGATTGTCGATAGAAGAAAAATCAATCACTGAGAAAAAACAACAACCCACTAGGTCCGTTCAAAATTTCACACTTGATCAATCGAAAAAAGGTTTGCGCGATTGGGTCGGAAAATTGCTTTTGCCTCCGATACTCCGACAGCTGGTTGCCGTGCTGCTTTACGTCACTGGTTTATCACCACCAGAAACCGATTCGAACATTCCGATGTATTTCCTTTTACAGCGCTATTTTTGGCACAGTTCCACCGTTTTTCGGCCGAATCAAATGCACTTACATAAACGTAGCACTCATATCGACGAACTTTACCTCGAACCAATCGGACGTGATCATTGATCGTCGAGCATCGAATGAGAGATGTAAATTGTTTTCCAATCAATATGAAAGGGGTTTTTTTTTTGGACTAATTAGCCATCGCCACACCAGCAGTGACACAGTTTCGTGTTGTTTATCTCAACGTCGGTGTAATCACCGATGGGCATGGGGGGTTTGGTCATTGATCAATTTTCTCGAGAAAAAAAAAAAGTCGGGCAGTTGGGCGAGGCAGTGTCGTCATTATCATCATCATCATCATCACTACCATTAAAGCGTAACGCGGAAATGATTTGTTTGTTTTCGTTGCGACGAGAAGGTTTCGAGGGCAAGTCGGTGTGGCATGTGGAATATTAGACCCTGAATCAAATGTGTGCCCATGTGGAACTGGTTGTCTTTTGAAAGCCTTAACCCTTCTGTCGGAGTATTTTGTGTTGATGATGGACGTTTTTTTTAAGCTTAATGGTCGATACACTATTTGGGTGGTGACACTTCCGGTGAACCATGTTGCAATGAGATGCTTTGCGCTGTATTACAATTTTTGAACATTATAGTTTTCGAATCACTTCAGGCGGTGGTATGGTTATGTGCTAGCACTACAACGTTTTCCAACTAGATTAGAAAGGATCTTACGTTTAGTAATTCAACATGTGATAGTGATCAGACCTGTTAGATGACAAAATCTGATAAAATACAATGAAGTACAATGACATCTGAAGAATTATCCACAGGAGTGTGATTCAGTACTCCGGTGTCTCCAGAGTAACTCCACTTTACAAAACTAATGGTGATATTAGGGTTGTTTAGCCGGTTTTATCGGCAATACCGTTCCATTCTTTAATAATGAAATACTGGTTTTTAATCTTGCAGAAACCGTTAATTTCTGAAATTTCGAATGTTTGATGTTTAATAAATATATTAGATCTATTACCAGGTCAACGTTAACGATAAACTCTAATAATCTTCAATTATCAAATAAAATAAACCAAACAATCTTTCGTTCTAAGCGTTTTCATAGTTTATCCAGATATCTTCATAAAAATTAACGCTATTTTGATCAAAACAGCTAGCATCCTCCCTTAGTTCAGTCGGTAAAGGCGCAGCTACAAATCAAGACCATGCAGGAGGTGACTGGGTTCGATTCCCGGTCCGGTCTAGGAATTCGGGTTGGAATTCGACTTCCCTGAGTATATAGTATGTTTGTACTTGCCACACAATTATACTAATGCAAGAATGGAACAAACATCGAAAGCTCTCAATTAATAACTGTGGAAGTGCATCTCGAACACAGAAATGCGATGAAAAGAAGAAGAAGAAGAAGAAGAAGCGAGCATCATGAAGTTTTTAGTGTTTTTTTTTAATGCGTTTATTTTTCCAGGCTCATTTGCCGTAGCTTTGCGGAGCCGATATTCATTGTTTAGGTTACAAAATTTCTTAAAACTAACGTTAGTAAAGCGGGGGCCGATTACTCGCGGCTATCTCGAGGTTAGGGGTAACAAATTGTAACAAATGGATGGCAGGGTAGGGATTGAGAACACAAGGTTTGGAGAGCAATGTGCTCTTGATCTTGAACTAAGCGACCAACTGATGAAAAAGACAAACATGGGGGTACACCGATGGGCAGCTAAAAACTTGGGGGAACACAAGATGACACTAACTACTAAATCCTCAGATCTATCCGTTTTAAAAACACATAAATTAAATTGCAATAGTCAAGATCTCGCCTCGCCAAGATGTCTCTAACGGGTATCGCGGGTTGTTTTCCTCGGGCCCTGAGGGATGTGGATAACTCAGATCTGGCAACACGGTGTAAAGTACACGACCAAACAACATGCTCGATATCGACCACTGCCACACGCACATAAATTGCTGCCTGCGAGCCCGATTCGGAAGAAATGCGAGTCTAACGAGTAGTGATTGGACATGACCCTTGATATGACACGTATAAAGTCACGGATCATG